TTTTTCGCACAAAAAGTAGTCTCGTCGCTTGATAGACTTATAGTTGAGCCACTGTAGGCACATGGAATATTTAAACATTTTCTTTAATGACTTTCTGGGCCGTCAAGTTTCATTCCCTTAGGCAGCCTATGTAGCAGTGATCCACCTCTCAGATTTAATCAAAAATATCTTAATTTGTGTTCAGAAGATGAACGAAGGTCTTACGGGGTTGGTACAGCATGGGGGTGAGTAATTAATAACTTAATTTTCATTTTTTGGTGAACTAACCCTTTAACATATGGCCTCAGTTTTATCCATATTCACTTTATATCCAGTATCCATACTTGAGAATTAGCTTTTTTAAATATGGAATTGTTGTCTCGGGTTCTGTTAGGCAATGTAGGACATCATCTGCGTATAACGACAACTTATGTTCCTCTCCTTCAATTACAATTCCCTTAATTGCACTGTCGTCCCGAATTAGTTGAGCAAGGGGTTCAATGCTGATAGCAAACAGCAAAGGCGACAATGGACATCCTTGTCTGCATCCACGTTCTAGAGTAAAGCGTCCAGATCTACATCCGTTTCCTCTCACTGAGGCGAGTGGATTTGTGTAATCCAGTTGAGTGTTTGAACCTACTTTATGAAATTGGGGCCAAATTTAAACCTTTTAAGTGTTTGTATCAGATACTGCGAAGATACCCGATCAAATTAAATTTGATCACTCTTTTAAAAAATAATTATTTATTTACTCTTTTTGCAAGTATGGCAGTTAATATACGTAAATAAATATTTAACAATGAAATAGGCCGATATGATTGACATTCAGCAGGATCTTTGCCCTCTTTGTGAATTACAACAATGGTTGCATCCCTCCACCATTTTTATAGAATGTATTTATATATCCGTCGGGTCTTGGGCTTTTATTATTCTTCAACATAGAGATTGTCTCAATTATTTCACTTTCTTTAATGGGTTCATCCAGATCTTTTTGCCATTGACTGTTAACTCATTCAATTTTATATGATTTAGGAACGGTGCCAGAATATTATCATCAGACCAAGTATCAGAATTTCTGTAGAGTGATTTGTAGAAATCTGCAAAGGATTCTGCAATTTCATCAGGTTTAACAGGGATTGATAGAGCTACCAGATTTAATTTTTTGTATGATGTTTGAAGATATTTGCTTTCTTAATCTAATTGCTAACAATCTACAAGCCCAATTGCCATGTTCATAATATCTTTGGTTAATAAATCTTAGATTGCCTTCGATTTTATCAGCAATTAAGCTACAGTGTGTTCTAATTCTTGTTGTTTAGCTACTCTCTCTCTCTTCTTGGCAATTGCGAATGAAATAATCCGGCCTCTGAGATATGCTTTTGCATAATCCCATACTATGAGTGGTGATACCTCTGTAGAGTTATTTATACTTCGATATAATTTAAGTTCTGTTGTGACAAAAGAAATAAATTCTGTATCATTAAGGAACGAGGCATTCAATCTCCATTGTTTGGAAGTGTGTATGTCCTATAGGTCCACAGGTGAATGGCCCGAAATTGTCATTGGTGATATCTTCATATCTACTATTCTATATAGCTCTTCTTTGGGAGTGAAAAAATAATCTATCCAAAATGCATGTCTATAAGAGATAAATGTATAATCTCTACGATTTGGAAATATACTTCTCCACACATCTACAAGGCCAAATTCAGAAGACTGGTATTTTAACATCTTACTCATTCGGGAGAGTGAAGTAGTAGAGCTGGGTTGTCTGTCCAAATGTTGTGACATAATACAATTGAAATCTCCTCCCATTAATAATATTCCAGTGCTATACTGTGCAATTACATTGAAAACTTTTTTAATAAAAGCAGTCCTCATTTGGTGCATACACGTTCATAAGTGAAACATTAATGCCATTTGGAGCCATTTACTAAATGAATCTTCCCTGTGTCCTTATGAGTCTTTGCAAAGGTAAAATTTACATGCCTATGTATTAGGATAGACACTGATGGATGAGAGGAAAAGTACATAAAGGGAAGTTGTGGTCTTTTGGTTAGAGAGTCGACTTGTAACCCGAAGGATCACGGGTTCTCAGTACCGGCAGGAAATGTAGGTATGGGAGTGAATGGACAGCGCTCTCCTCTACTCTCATTACCCACAACTGAGGTGCCCTTGAGCAAGGCGCCTAACCCTCAATTGCTCCCCGGGCGCCGCAGCACTGGGTGCCAACTGCCCGAGTGTGTGTCCAATACTCACTGCTGTGTGTGTGCACTTAAATGGGTAAAATGTATACAAATTCCGAGTATGGGATACCATACTTGGCTACACATCATGTCACTTTCACTTTCATATATAATGTATGTCACCCATTTCCATATATTAATAAATATAATAATAATAAATAAAACCTGTAATAGCCTACCATTTGACTGAAGCATTTGATCATTGGTTTTACATATTTTGGTTCTGCATTTGCACAGAGGCTGTGATTATGCAATCATCTAGCTCACTGTGTTAATCCGTACCCAACATAAATAAACTAACAGCATGTACTTTTCTGGCAGACACATATATATATATATATATATATATATATATATATATATGTATATATACAACCCATTCTCACTCCCAAGGCGTCAAAAACTGACGCATGGTCAAGCGCCCCCGGCGTCACAATGAAGACTCCAAAGGCACCCCTCTGTGTCTCTCTTGGACAAATTGGGAACTCCATTGCTTTCAATGGGAAACCTGTGGCGTCAACAACAGACGCGAATTTTATTAGTAGGAAATCGTGCTGAAGAAGTCTCATATTGAACACATTGCAATATCTGGCATTTGTTAAGTAGTCGTTTATTTGCTTATGTTTGATATAATGTCTTTTCTGTTTGTCGATATTAATCAGATTAGCTCCCTCATGTTCAGTCACTGCATTATATCTGTCATCTCCATGGAGGCTTTGCGTTTCATTGCTTTCTATTTCAAAACACCTTACTAAACTGGGGTGATTAAACACAAGCTGCCACATGATGTGCTATTGACCTTCAATCAGTTAATCATATTCATATCAGGTTCAAAGTAGTACAATTAGTTCCAAAGTGGTATTTGTAGTAGAAGCACTGTAAAAACAACACTTACAATGCTTTTACCACAGTAACCTTAGTTTTATGTGATATTTGTTGTAAATTAACAGGAACCACAAAACTTACCATGCTTTTTACCTCAGTAACCTTAGTTTTACTGTGATATGTGTAAAAGGATAGTAACCACAACACTTACTATGCTTTTAATGCCTAATAATTTAAAATCCAAAATTTGTAAGGTAAATCTGTTCCTTTAAATAACCCTATATATCATACATGATGATATTTTCTTTTCTCTTTTTTCAGCTGAAAAGACCAAAAGGGCCTTTCGGACTCAGTCAGCTCATTATTGTTTGAGGACAAGTAAACGGAAAGCTGCAAAGGCAAATAATCACAATGTATGTGTTGGTTTTAACCCTTAATCAAACATTTTATGTTGTTTCTTAAACCTTTTCTTACAAAACCTATAGCCCAATCAGTACGAACATAGTCTCAAAGTCTTAATAATTCACAGGATTTAACAAGTTGTCAAATCCGTCCGATACTCATACATATTTGTATGTAAGCTTTTACTCCTACTGCTGTCATTGGCTACTGCCTCAATTCCTGTACATTTGTAAATCAGTTGCGCCCCTTCTTGGAAAGTAGTCGGATGTCCCACACACTGTCAGAAAGTTTATATTAATTGCATTGTATTCATTAAAATTATTACAAATTGGACCCTGTCTGTTCATGTTCCAATCCTCATGGTTTTTTTTTGTTGTTGTTTTTTTAAACGAATTCATGAATATTGCTTGCTATTAAAGACATACTTGTATTCATGGAAATGCCCACATACTGTATCAGTGAACTTACATAAACATAATTACATAAAATAAGGTCGAGCCCCTTATTTGTTGGGGGGTGGAGTTTGAGGACTCTGGGTTCGGGCCAAAATACCGACCTCGGAGCCCTCTCGTGAAATACATATTAATGACTATAAGAAAGAAAACATTAATAAGATTTATTAAAAAAAAACTTTAAAAAAGAATTGAATGAAAGATATTAAGCAAAATAATAAAATTGAATAAATTTGAATACGATTAATTTCAAATACACTATGCTGAAGCTTTAAAGCTTATCACAATGTATAAACACCTTTCAGAAATGTACTTCATATGCTTACTTTTGCGATACATTTAGAATGTAGAGATAGTTACTTGACATTACTAGCAGTTATTATTATTTGTAATTAATATGAACGTTACTATTATTCGAAAACTTTTGATTGACCATTGTCTAATTTCTTTGTCTTACTGGCGCACAGAGAGTGTGAACGTGCAGATAATTTCAAGACCTCCCAAAGTGACCATATCCCATTAAATTAATGGATTCTCAAAGAGACCATCATCAGCATCAAGTTTCAAGATCACTTGGGCTCTTACAGCTCTTACTGCCCAACCAACTGCATCACTGTATGATCTGAGTGCATTGGTTCAGACCGCAAGACCCTAAAATGCTTTTACTCTCCCATTATTGTTTTCTGTGTGTATAACAAAAGTGCTTAATGTTGTTTACAGTGTGTATATGAAGTATTCCTTGTGCTTGCTGTAATTTGGTTTGCAGACCTAGTAAGATAATAGTTGTCTATTGTTGTTTATGGTTAAAAAGACAATACTCTCATAAATACATTGACTGAGCCACTTTGCACCCAATTTGCAGAGCAGAACATGTATTGAAATAATGCTAGAGCTTTAAGAGACACACCCAAAGCAATCAACATCTATTTATCAGTGATGTCACCACAATTTAAAGTGCATCCTGGCATCTTCTTCACACAGATGAGATCACTCAGTTAATGAGTGAAGGACAAACACCGTACAGCCGTGTCTATCCGTCTAAAGACTTTAAATGAAAGTTTAAAGTTGTGAAATACTTTAGAAGTTAAAAACTACGGACTAATCAGCTAATCAGAAATCATGGTGGGCGTACCTGAATTTTCTTCATTTACAGATCACAGTAGATTCAATGGTAAGTATCAGCGATCTCATGATTCAATTCAATTTAATTCACATTTATTTGTATAGCACTTTTCACAATAAATATCATTATAATTGTGAGCTTTACAGAAAATGCATGTGTCTACATTACAATTTATAATGTTTTATTAGAGTTCAGGAGGAGCACGTTCAGATAATTAAGGAGCACATTTACACAATTAATGAGATTAGAGGTATATATCTGTTCCATGACAGTTTTCCAGCATCCCTCCACTACCCCATCTCCTCACTTCTAACTATTCCTATCCCAGCCTGGGATGGCGGGGGTACTCTGGGTTCGGGCCAAATTTCGAGCTCGGAGCCACATCCCCTTGGACAGCACGCCAAATACACATAACCTTTACTCTCTGATTATTTGTAAGTGTGAACTCATAAAAGAGCAATTTGTTATCAGAGGTGACTGTATCCAAGTAATGTCCATATGTCAGAAATTTCTAAGATAATATGAATCATGCAGTTTGCTAACATCATGCATTCATTTAAGCATAATGTTCTCATTAAAGCAGTTAATACAAGTTGTGATAGTAATGATTACATGAGTGACATGATTTTCAGTTGTGACTTGCTGATGTAATGAAATTAAATTTACGTACTTTGAGCAAATTAGTCCAACGGCTATGTGAGTGGAATCTGTTTTTATCAGATGGGTTTTGTTTTGCAGTAAAGCCAATTGATTGTGTTTGTGTTTTGGTTACAGATTCTGGCCGTACTTTTCCTTTTGGTTTACTTAACCAAACAAATCAGATGTTTAACAGAAATAATAGTGCAGTGACATACATTAACCACACTGTTCCATACTCTGAGACATTGGTCGCACAGGATGAGGTCGTTCTCCTCTTTAAAGGCTTGATGGTCACACGCGTCATGCCCTCGTTCTACATCTTCATCATCCTCATTAGTTTGCCCCTGAACGCTTTGGCCTTGGTGACGTTCACCTGTAGGATTCGAGAGAAGAAACCAGCTGTGATCTACATGTCTCACCTGGCGTGTGTGGACCTGCTCTTCACCCTGCTGCTGCCTCTGAAGATCCACTACCAGCTGAACGCTTCAGATTGGGTGTTCGGTGAGGCGGCGTGTCGTGTGCTCAGTGCTGCTTACTACTGCAACATGTACTGCTCCATACTGCTGATGATGTGCATGAGTGTGGACAGACTGCTGGCCGTGGTGCTTCCCATCGCCTCTCTAACCTGGAGGAGTGCAAGGAAAGCCACGTGTGTGTGTGTGCTGGTCTGGCTGCTGGCGCTCGCTGGCATAGTACCACTTCTCTCAATGACACAAACATTCAATGTCCAGAATATTGGAGTCACCTGCTTTGACTTCTTGGACCAAGACACATCACTGTTGTTATACTTGTCTGTGTTCTTAATCCTTCCCTGCATTTACTTTTTCCTTCCACTGGTCGTCATCTTGGTGAGCTACTCTACCATCATATATGTGCTCTGTGTCAAACTTGATCACTTAGCAACACCATCATCTTCCTCAGACAATAGAAGGAGAGCAGTGGTTATGGCTACTGCCGTGCTGATGGAGTTTGTGGTGTGTTTTGGGCCCTCTAATTGCTTCCTGTTGTATCACTGTATTTGTTTAGCCATGGGAAGCAATGGAGTGGACACCTATCCGGCTTACCTGTTGGCTGTGTGTTTGGGGAGCGCAAGTGTTTTCCTGGACCCTCTTCTGTACTACTATGGCTCGTCTCAGTACAGACAACAGATCAGCTCTGTGTTTTGGGGCAGGAAGGCAAAAAGAGCAAACACACCATCAAACACAAACACTTACCTGAGCTGTAAACTCAAATTTTTGCTAGAAATCTGACATTTTCTAAATCAAATAAGTTGCAGTACTCAACAATATCATTTGACACAACTCAATGTTTAAGTAAAAAATTAAAACTTTAAAAATATGAATGAAATGTAAAGTTTTCACAAGGGTATTATTGTCACATTTTGGTTTCTTCTTCTATTAGAGTTTTTTGGCAGTTGGCACACAATGAAATGGTGCATTACTGCCACCAACTGGTATGGAGTGTGGAACTGAATGACTATTACTTACTTTTATTACAAAGAAAAAAAAACTAATTTAAATCCTCTCAATCATATTAATTATTCTCACACATTTTGGTTTGTTTATGTCATGTTCCTTTGTCTTGTCATGTGATTCCCTATTTGTCATGTGATCCTGCCATGTGTTTCCTTGTCTGATGTGTCATGTTGTAATTGGTTCATTGTTTCATTGTTCACATGTGTAATAATAATAATAATAATAAAAGTTTATTCGGTTACTAAACATAAAACAGAATATATACAACAAATTCATTACAAACCCATGTGTCCCTTGTCTTGTCATTAGTCTTGTGTGTATTTCGCCCTCATGTTTGCCATGTGTCTTTGTCAAGTATTGTTTCACGATAACCTTTGTCGGTAAGCGTCATGCCATGGTCTTGTTTTATGCTTCATGCCATCATGGTCTTGTTTTGGTAAATAAACTGCACTTGGGTTCTCTCAAAAAGCTTGCCTTCAGTGGATCCCTTTACAATTATGTGTATCCAACGTGTGTGTATATATATATATATATATATATATATATATATATATATATATATATATATATATATATATATATATATATATATATATATATATATATAAATGTAATTGCGTAACCTACATAAGATGATCTTTTGACCACCTGAGAACTAGTGAAGAGCTTAATGTGAAGGAGTCAAAACAGCAGCAAGATGGGTCCACAGCCATACATACGTTCACAAGAGAGTCGAGTTCTGGCGGAAGGGTGACCTATGACCCGATGTGTGACGTAGGCGTAGCATCAGTTAGGTGAGAATTGACGAACGCGGAAGCACAGAGGAGAGAGCAAGACAAAACGCCGGTCATGAAGTTGAAGTCTAAAACAAGAAGTTTTAAAGGGGTCATATAATGCCATTTTTGTACAAGCTAATATGATTCTTTAGGGTCTAAATTAAAAGTTTGTAATATACTTTAATTAAAAATTCTCATTAGTATTGTAAGAAAACACTTATTTTACTTGGTCAAAAACAGCTCTGTTTTCAGCACGCCGTTTCAGTGCATATGCCTTTAAATGATCATGAGCTTTGCTCACCCCGCCTCTCTGTTCTGTGCATACACCGTTTGTAACACAATAACACAATAACCATAACGCGTTGTTCAGTATAAACGTGGGATTATGAATTATATTGAGAACGTCATACATAGAAAACATGCCGTAATGTACCCTGAGTGTAAACCTTAGACGCATTCATTGTGAAGCGTGCAGCTAGCGATTTGCAAAGATTAATATATTAATAAAGTTTCATAAAACGTTACACTCACTTCCGTTCTTCTGGAGATTCAGCAGGAACACGAATATCTAGTACCGATCTTTTTTCATGAGCAGCTTCTTAGCAAAACCAGCTTTATGCTGATCCTCGTTTATAAAGCAGTCTGGTGTGTGAAATGATTCATGCAAACATGAGAGCATTGACGTTGCTTGTGGGGAATATTCCCTTCGAAAACAAACTCAGCCACTGCGTCTTCAGCGGTTTGGATTTAGGAACATTAAAATGACTGTGTTCGTTATTACACCCAAGAACAGAACACCACAATCGCTTAGACGCCATTCTGCTCATAGACAGTGCTCCAGCATATCAACAATGACCGCGCCTTAGATGCATCGCGGTGCGGACGATTCTGAATCGATTCACATGTCATGAATCGTTAAAAGCTAACATATGGAAAATTGGCATATGTTCATTGTGGCCTTTTTTTCTATTTTTGTATGAGAGCTGCTTCACACGTTTCACACCAACAAATATGTTATACTTACCACATTATACTTATACAGTACTTACTGTACTGCCCTCCATAGTCACAGTGTGTATCAGTGCAATGCCAGTCACAAAAAGTTACATTTTGACTGTGCTCTCTGCAGATGTTCCATTTACTTTTTTGGTATAAGCTGTTTTTGATTTGTGGTATACAACAACAATTTAAAAGTCTTAGACTCTTTTTTGTGTATAAGAGCTTTGTATGTTACTAATTATTCAGAATATGCGCAAGTCCACAAGCATTAATTTTGTATGAAAGCTGCTGGTACATAATTTTTTATATTGCTCATTGCACATGTTGCACGCACAAAAGAGGCTGTTTTTCTGGTGGCACATATATTTTTTTATTTCTGTCACACACTGTAAGATCTGCAAATCCAACAAAGACAACAGTAAATTAGTTTCTGTATCACAGTGTTGAAATAGCTGGCAGTGTGACTTCTTCATATTAAAAAATTGAAAACGCTCTCTTTCAATAAACTCATTTATCTGCAGTGGTGGAAAGAGTACTAACAAATTGTATTCAAGTAAAAGTATTGCTACTTAAGTAATAATTTACTTGAGTACACGTTGAAGTACTAAAAAATAATATGACTCAAGCAAGAGTAAATAAGTAGTTTGCTTAAAAATTACTCAAGTAATTACGCTACAAAGTACTTTTGTATTATTTTTCTATTTTTACCCAAAATGGGTAAAACACTAAACACTCAAATGTCATCTGTTTCATTCATACTGGAAGCCCAGTACTGATTCATCCCTCATGCAGAAAGTCATAGAAGTATTAAACTTATGACATTTCAGGAAATTACTTATAATAACAACATGCAAATAGAGACGTTCTGACTGATGAAACATGAAGACAAACAGGTGATAGCGATAATATATCTGTGTTCATCAAGCTATCTCAGGTATTTTCAGAAGAATAAAGCATTTCTTTAAAGGGATAGATGACCCAAAAAGGAAAATTACCCCATGATTTACTCACCCTCAAGCCATCCTAGATGTATATGACATTCTTCTTTCAGACGAATACAATCAGAGTTTATATTAATAAATGTCCCTTTCTCTTCCAAGCTTTATAATGGCAGAGAATGGCTGGAGAAAATTTGAAGCCCAAAAAAGTGCATCCATCC